CAGGACAGCTATGTGGCTATCGGAGGCATGGGTTGCACCTTTGCTGCCTTCGTCCCGTTGAGAGTGAGGTTTGGAGTTTCGGCTGTAGGGTATGATCTAATGTAGGGGCCTTTATAATCAGACTAGGGTTCCTTTACAGGGATCCAAAAAAGGTTCTGTAAGGGATCTATGGTCTATGATAGGGTTCCTTTAAAGGGATCCAAAAAAGGTTCTGTAAGGGATCTATGGTCTATGATAGGATTCAAAATTAGGGGCGTTAATAGTAAGAACAGGGTTTTGGGGGTATATTCTACCGTAATTATAACAAGGAGCCCCCAAAACCCTATTCTACTTATCAAGGCCCCTACATTAGGGTTTGAGCCCCTAGGACAGGCTCCCTTAGGTGAGTTCGGGGTCTACTTAGGCTCCAGGCAAAGTGGGTTTGCCTTCGGTAGACCCTAAACCCTAAACCCTAAACCCTAAACCCTAAACCCTAAACCCTAAACCCTAAACCCCTAAACCCCTAAACCCTAAACCCTAAACCCTAAACCGTGACAGGCTGCGTTGGATAAGTTTTGGGTTTTGAGGTTCAGGAGTCTGTAGCTGGCAGGCGACCCAGAGACTCCAATACCCCCTTAATTAAGGAATATACCGTAAATCCTATTAGGGATCCTACTATGATTTAAGGTATATTCCTGAATTAAGGGGTATTGGAGTCTCTGGGGAACCTGAAAACCTAGTTTCTTGAGGTTTCAGGGCTCGGTTTGCTTAGCGTGGTCCCTGGGTAATGAAGCCGTCGTCTGAAGGTTGTGGGGGTTGAGGATCCTAGTTCGACTGTCACTTTCTGCGGTTCCCAGAGCCTTCAAAATATAATAGGAACCCTAATATGATTTAAGGTATATTCCTTAATTAAGGAGTATTGGAGTCTCTGGGTTTAGGGTTTAGGGTTTAGCGTTGAAGCCATAACCCCTAAACGGCACTAAACCCTAAACCAGACGCGAAGTTGGAGCTCAACTGATTGAGCTTAGCAGGTTGAAGGTTCGGTCTTTACAGCAGCTTAGGTTTCGCAACTCAGAAACTCTCGGTTAAGTAATAAAGTGGCCTAAACATTTACCAATACTATTTTGGAGGTGCCCTATTATAATCTTAGTATACTATACCCCAAAACCTTGTTCTAATTATTAAGGCCCCCACATCATCAAGCCTGCGAGTCCATTGTTGACGAAGGGCCTTCAGTTTTGCAGTCAGGGTTGAGGATGTTGTTTTTCCCATGGCAGGTGCCATCTTTGAGACATCGACGCACCCTCTGCCCTTTCGACCCCGCAATAGACACTCTAGATCGGTCCGAGTGCCTGTTAACGAACTCAGTTTAAGGTACCATATGTAGTAAGGAAAGCGTGGTGTTCATTACATTTCCCATGGTAGCCCTAAACCCTAAGCCCTAAATTGTGGTCGTCTCACGCGTACACCTATGCCCTAGACCCTAAACCTGAAACTCACAAACCTAAACCCTAGTAGCTGCACTTAAGCTCCTTGATCACAGCCCCAGAAGCGGCAACTTCCTAAATCCTGCGCACAACCACAACTCAGTAGTTCTACATTCCTAAACCCTAAGCCCTACAAGACCTACAAGTTTAAGGACTTCTTTACTGAATTCATAGTGAGGAACCCTGAAAAGGCAGCTTCTTTGGTGTTCGGGTAAACCCGAAACGCCCTTGACTCTAGAGCCCCTGCACCCCTAAACTAAACCTCATCCCCACAGAGCCCTGACGACATGAGCACAACATTCGGTTTCTTTAGTTCAGGTTATAGGGGTCCCTGTGTCTGAGGTCGGGGTTTAGGGTTTAAGGTTCAGGGTTTAGGGTTATAGAGGGTTTAGGGTTTTGCAGGGTTTAGGGTGTTAGGGGTCCCTTGTTTTCTGAAGCTCTTGCAAACCTGGGGCCCAGAAAGGCAGAGACCCTATGCCATGAGGTTCTTTTGATTGGTTGGAATAATATAGGGGTCTGAATAAATTACCTACTATTTTGAGGTTTAGGGTTTAGGGTTTTTTGGGGGTTCCTTATTCTGAGTATAGTATAATATACCTCAGAACCCTATTCTAATTATGAAGGCCCCTATATTATTGGGCATTCCGACAAGCCTAACCCTACTCCCTAGCAGTCCCATAACATCGGAGAGAGGGAACGAGAGGTGTATACACATGACTATACATATACATGCATCTATGAAGGAGTGGGTATGTATGTATGTATATATATAACTAAATATAAATATAAATAAATAAATAAATATAAATATAAATATAAATAAAGAAATATATATATATATATATATATATATATATACATATGTGCAAAGCCCTACACCGCCATTATGTGGTCGTTCGGGCCCTCAATACCTCGAGAGGGCTGCAAAGGTGGGATGGAGGTAGGTGGGGGATCCCAGACAAGAGTTCGTACGTAAGGGAACCTTAATCCGTTCGCCTTAAGCCCTGCACCGGAAATCCGGAAACTCTAAACCCTTAACACCAAACCCGCCCAAAGCCCTAGGCCCTTCGCGCCCTTGACTGGCTCTAAGTCTTAATCCCAACATCCTAACCCCAAATCCTAAACCCCAAACCCATCTTGTAAGGTCCTTGACAACGTAGACTTCTGATTTGTACACCCCCCCCTCTACCTTAAAAGGGATTATATTCCAAGGCCCTGGAATTTCGGATGTACAGGATAGGGATTTAGGGGTTCAGGGTCACTCCGTTCCTCTTTGCCGGGGCCTTCTGTCGCAGCCAGATCCAAGATCTGCTCAATGTAAGCTTTAAACTTCAGGCGTCTTCGTCGTCCTGCCCAGTGCTTCTCATGGAATCCGACTGCCGGCTAGAGTGTTTCAGTATATGGGTAGTTCTCTAAATTAGGGTCCCTTTTTAGGTTCCCGAAATAATACGGCACCCTTATGAAAAGGACCCTAAAAGGGACCCTAATTTAGACAACTACCCATAAACCCTAAGCCCTAAACCCGAAACCCTAAACCCTAAACCCTAGACCCTAAACCCTAAACCCTAAACCCTGAACACTAATTTAGACAACTACCCATATGTGAAGCTGCTCTCGTGGCAGGTTCAACCCCAGAAGCGAGAGTTTGTGGGGCAACTGATGGTGGCTGGGAGCCTGACGATGAGATCTGCCGGTCGAGTTTGCAAGAGCCGGTTTTTTGACGACGCCGGGACTCAAGGAGTTCGATACCACGAAGATCGATACCACTGTAGGGTTTAGGGTTTGGGGTTTAGGGTTTAGGGTTTAGGGTTTAGGGGTTTAGGGTTTAGGGTTTAGGGTCTCCCGCCTGGAATGACTTTGCTTCCGTTGGGACCTTGGAGCAAGCACGGATGAACGCCGGGGAGATGTCACATGCTCCGAGGCCTTTTCCGCCATCTCGTCAACTTCCTACCTCGGGCTGGCATAGGGTTTAGGGTTTAGGG